ATAATAATAATAATAATAATAATAATAATAATAATAATAATAATAATTATACCAACTGTACATATTACTTATACGTATTTATTTATGTATGTACACTGATAGGCTATTGTGTCTCTGCCTGATTTGATGGATATAAAAAGTATACAACGAACGTAAATGTTATTTATATATACACGAAAACGTAAATCATTCGCTGCAAAGTGATTTCGATATTTTCTATATTTTATCATTATCGTATCAACTAACAAAATTTCATCGAATCGAATTAATAATATAACGAAATTTGAAAAATTTGAAATTGGAAATATTGTATAAAATTATCTGAGATTTCGAGATCGAATCGACGAACAATAATAAAGTCAACATTTAAAAATTTTACGATTATCATTAGAGAACTTTCTATTGGCAATATAATTTTTAATAATATCGAAGATCGATCGAATAAATCGACTTTGGAGCGAATGGTGGAAGAATGATGAACGAATATATATATATTAAAAATGAAACGTAAAAAATGTACAAAGGAAAAATGAAACGAAAAGACCGTGTTAAAGATGATAATAATAATAATAATAAGTAAGAGAAAAAGTATAAAGTACTACCGCCTGGGCTGCAGGACTTTGCCCAGCATTATCGTTATCGATAAGATCGTTATCGTTCTGTAAAACAAAGAGAAAAGACACAAAGAGATGATTTTGAGAGCTGCGTGAACATCCTCTTGTCTGGGTATATAATATATAATAATGTTATATAATAAACGTAATAACAATATGTGATTAAATTTCAAATTTTAAATTACTCCTACACTAATGTCACAATAATAATAATAATAATAATAATAACGATAATTATAATCATAATCATAACATTAATAATAATAATAATAATAATAACGATAATAATTAATAAGAACAACATAACCTCTATTTAATCAATAATATTCGAAGGTTCAAACCTCGTTGTCGTACTCACTTTCTATGATTTTTTTTTTTTTTTTTTTTCAAAATGGAACACTTATATAAAATTCAACACACATATTCTTATCTAATAATAATCTAATCGTAAACTCATTCAAAAAAACTTATATTTTTCCTAAATTTCTATGTGTGATCTGTATTCATCATCGATACATCGTCGTACGCTGTGGATCGAAGTGATAAATATTCAAAATCGTAAAAATATCAATTACGGTTCTTTTTAAATTGCAATATAATTAAATAGCGATTGATGTATCGATTATGGACAATCTACTAGTTAAATCATTTGCACAAAATTTGAATTCGTGACGTTCACAGGAAGGGTGACATCGAACTGCTTCTACAACATATTGAATCGGCTAATTCAACAGACAGAAATTGAACGACGTCTTCCTTGTTCTTATAATATTTAACTAACAATAAGTTAAGGCCGATTCGTTATCCCGGTGAGATAATCGTTCGATTTTCTTGAAATGAAAAATTGTTTAACTACAAGTTAAATTATTAAATTTGAAAGTAGAATTATTATAATATCCAGTATTCTTAAAGAATTTTTTAACACGATTTCATTTATATTATATTGGATTTAAAAAAGATATTGTAATTAAAAATATAAGTGAATATACTTTACTTATGGATTTCTAATTTTAGAATAATCTCTATAAAATATAATTTAATCTTGAGATTGTTTTATTCGAACTTTTAAATTTATAATCGAAATGATCATTCTTCCTTCGTTATTTAATTAGAAAATTTTTCTAAATTTCTATATTACAATCGT